CATGGGTGTAATGGGGTATAATTATGTGTAATATGGTTGTAATAACAGTGTAATATGGGTGTAATAGGGCTGTATGAATGTGTAATATTGGTGGAATGTTAAAAATAGCAATGCATTAATTTTCCAAAATACTTATATGTGAAAGGGTTACCTGGATTACGAAAAATAACTTTTTTGTTAAAAACTTTGTAGAAGAGTGTAGCATGTGTTGTGTATCTTCAAATGTGTTTGTTATGTTTATGTATTTTGTCTGTCATTTCCTGTTCTATTTTGTACTTACCTCTTCTCTTTCATGTCAGGCCCTGTTTCTTCTCCTCCCCTTGTGTGTTTTTCCCGCCATCATCAGTGTCTGCCCCGCCCCTGATTGTTTCCACCTGTCCCCACTCACCTCATGTTTAAATAGTCCTGTCTCTCCCCTGTCCTGTGTCAGTTCGTCTTTTTTGTTTCTCCAAATGGTCGTACCAAGCCTCAGCTCAGAAAGGATCGTATTCATTCATATCAGGTTTTGTTTCTTTTGTTAATTTTGTAGGCTTAAGTTTTCCTTAAGTCCTCTTTTTGTTACACTAGTATTTTCCTCCTTGTGAGCGCCTTTTGTTATTTCCAGTACCTACTAAGAGGGATACCTGATCTGTGAAATTAAAATTAAATGTTCTTTACATTCAAGACTTTTTCTCTGGGTCGTGCATTTGGGTTCATCAGTTTGTGTCGAGATCCTGACAGCAAGGCCCAAGGAAAAAACAATAAATGTATGTAATGGATCCGAATCAACTGCACATACTGTACAGACATTCTATTTTTGCTTTCTTTAACATTTAAAGATGGGGCATTTGTGTTGCATGTGGTTTAGAAAGTGTATGGGTTCACTTCCCTGTTGCTGCTAGGATGGAAATATCAGAGAGGTTCCTATCTTTTCAACTATCTCTTAACAATCAATTAAATAAGCTTATTTCCAAAATGTAAAATACTCCATTAAACAACGCAAATATCGACTGCATGTCTATTATGAGACTATGTTTTTTTCAGGAATAATTAGATAGGATAAACCACTCTGGAGTTGGAAATTAAATGACTGGCAGTGTAATGGTTTCATTGGAGATTTTCAGCACCACATGACCCAAATTATTTTTTGATTCTTTACTGAGAAAGACAGTCCTGATATAAACCTTGCTGTAATGTGTTTGGTTTTCCCTCAGGCCTCATTTGCAGCCTGATGACATGATGGTGAATCACTGCACAGAGTCTCCATGTCCCTTTGGACACGCTGTCACTTAGTAACCTTGGTTCCCCTTGTTTCCACGGGCTGCCCCACACCTACTGGAGGCCATATGTCCCTACTTACAATGTTTACCCAACCTGCATCTATTCAGCAGGGAAACTCATTTAAACATACTGTAGTTAGACTATATCAACGATTGCTATTTTAAAACCGTGAAAACGCTAACCTTTTATAACTTAGATTCTCCTTGTTCCAGTCAAGTATTTAAATGTGCATTGCATTACAAAATGTGTATGTCTACTGCTGCACATTTCCAGGGTTACAAATGTATACTATTTGTTTGTGTCACACTGCGACCACAGTGACTTTATAGCAGAAGCTTATACCATATGTTCTTGTGTTAAAGGGATTATATTTGCAATGCAGAGGTAAGCCATGTTTAAATATTAGAAAGCAGAATGGATTTGGCTGTCAAGCAACAGGCAACGTAGGCGGTGAGGCAAATTATCTTACGCTGCATTGCAATACAATTCTAATATTTGTCATTATAAATCCAAAACAGACCTTTGTAGTATTTAATTTGACAGACAGATTTCACCAGCGTAAAATAACATAAATCATTACGGTAGATGATGCAATTTTGAAGCATAAGCATTGCTGTAAATGTAGATATATAGTGAAATGTCACCGCCATATATCCTTTTTCCTTAGTAAACTGGTGGATGTTTGCCTTATCTCCGCCCTCAGCTGGAGTTGATATATTATCCACCTTTACTCTCTACAACACATTTATCATACTGTGAACCAATTATATGTTCCTGTTGTCTAGACAATATGAGTAACAACCTACCAACTCCCATTTAGTTATTTTATAGTTTCATAGACAACAAGTTTGTGTTGTTCTGATCAAATTCTTGACCCCAATATTTGAGGGTTATTATGGATGTTTTTTGTTGGCTCCCTCATTAGTTGAGCTATAGGAAGTGCAGGTTTCGATTCAGCATCACAAATAAGTGATAGCAACAGTATCCACACTGTGAGTTAACTGAGCAGTAGATAATATGGATTCCTGCAGAGACAGCATGACCTCAATTACCCTTCACTCTGCTCTCTGACCTGAGTGTGTGTGTGTGAGTGTGTGTGTGTGTGTGTGTGTGTGTGTGTGTGTGTGTGTGTGTGTGTGTGTGTGTGTGTGTGTGTGTGTTTATATTTCTCATTATTCTTTTGAGTTCTGTTATGTTTTCTGTGGCATTCAGTCCCTTTAGAGGGAACAATAAGGTTAGTGTGTGTTTCTTCATTAAGCATTTCTCTTATATCACTGCTTTAGGATCATTATCACTCGAGTATTATCAGCAAATACATTATTGCTGACCTTTGACCTTGTTCAACTTTAGCTGTATTTGATTTGCGAGCTGGAGATTAATGCTACATTTTGCTAATATGTTCACAGTTTTTCACATTTTATATTCACAACCTCAGTTATGAAATTTTTGCACATGCGTATATAAAAGAGGCAGTGAGTGATTTCAATTAATAAGTAAGTACATTCTGCAGGAGAGGTTACGAGCAAAAAAAAATCACAATTAACATTAACAAGTTAACGATAGTCATACCACAAATCATACAAAAATAAACAACATGTAATAAAGTGATTATTATCCCAATTGCAATTTTGATCTGATGATTGTGTTAGATCAGTGGTTACAACACACTGTCATTCATAGATTTGTGTGTTTCTGTGTGTGTGTTTTATTTAGGAGCTGTTAGTGGAACTCGGCTGGGCGAGCAAAACTAGAGGAAAGGTGGAGGAAGAGGAGGGAGGGAGCGCACAGACAGAAAGAGGGAGTGGGGATGACTGCGATGATGAAGATGGCTGTGAAGCATCTGGTGTGGAAAACGGTGAGTCACACACACACGTACACAGTGTCAAAAATAGAGGAATAAACATTAGCAAACATACTCCCACACATATAAACACATCAACTGATGCTCACTTGCAAGCATGTCCTGTCTTCACTATGCAAATATATGGATTCTGATGCACACGTTACACATCCGCATATGCAAACACGTGATCAAATATACATGTATATGTACCTATAAGTAAAACACACACACAGTACATGGCATAGTGGTGGTTTTAATATGCTGCAGCCTCTACACATACTGTGCCAGCAGGGAAATGCCCAGAGGGAGGGGTAGTGAGAGATGGATTCAACTACCCCACCCCCCCCCCTATCGTTCTCCCTTTCTTTCTTTTCCTCCCTCTCTTCTCCAGCTTTATTTCTGCTGGTCTCAGCCGTTTATTTCCTCTTTGGCCGGGATAAAGGATGCATCAACCAGGTCATCCAAAAAACAGAAATGGGGATCCGAGCTGTAATTATTCATGTTACACTTGACACATTCACCAGGCTCCTGCTCATATATTAAACATGGGTTCACAGGGAGATCTGGGAGGGGCCTTGAGGCAACCCCACATATTTAATGTAGTTAAAATGTCCTCTAATTTAAATTGTTGAATCTAATTATTGACCAAATGTCATATGTTTCGTTCTTGACCTCGAAAAAAAACATTTGAGTGCCTAGTTTTTCCTCTGTGTATTCCTATTTTTACTATCCCTTTGTACCACCCTTTTTTAATGGGAGAATAAATGCATTACTCGACTATAACCAGAATGTAAAAAATACTAAGGTTACACCTTAAAAGATAGAGAAGCAAAACATTTCTTTTTTAATACATGTTATTCTTTTGACACTTTTAATACAAAATGATATGTTTTTCTTTAATAAATGTATATGTCCAATACTTTATGTATAACAAATGTCTATGTCCGCCTTTGAAAATCAAATGATGTGTAAATTTGTATCAACACAGACTGGTGAAGGTATCAAACTGTTGCACCACTAGATGCTAGGAGCTGTGTAGCACCTGAAGCTGTCAGACAACAACACAGACAAAAACACACAAAATACATCTGTTAGGTAAATTGACCAGCATTCTTGTACTGTGGGACCGTGCTTAGGTATGACCGCATCACTTAAAGTAAGCAGCTAATTGAGAGAATTTTGATATTTACTTTTATCAGACTTGTCAAAATGTTTCACACTATATATTTTAGTTGCATTCTTTTTTTAAACTAATCTGTGTTCCGGCATCATAAAAGACAAACAGATCTACTATCTTGTCAAAATCTCATCTCCAACCATCCGTCTGAAGGGCAACAGTACTCAAAGACCCTCCTCTTTACGTTATGGAAAGCTTTACTGTCTATCTTTAGCTGGAAAAACCCATATGTTGATTAACTGATCAACATAATAGAAGCCCCCTACTGCCTTTTTGGTTACGAAAGTTTCCATGACACCCAAGTGGTTTGAACTTTCCAGGAAGACTTAGGCCATTTATTTTCAGGTTAATCCAATAATGTAAAAGCTGTGTTAGTTTGTTTGTTTTCTGTAGTTAGAGCTTGAATGGAATACAATATACGTTTTTTGTTGGAGGCATTCTTGCTCCATGGCTCCATTGTGATAATTTACTAAATCAGAGCTCATTCTTGGGTATTATCCCATTGTTGCCCATAATCAGATCATGTCACCCTCACAACACCCTGGTGATGTCGCTGGGTGGTGGGGTTTCTCTTCCCCTAGGGCATGCTGTAATAAGCTCATAGGTCATTGGCAAACCAATGACCCCGTCACTTTACTTGTTTCGACTGCAGTCATGAGTGTGTATTGACCCAGTGACACAAAGCACAAGTGTAGCTTGTTATTATCCTGAACTGTTACGTCAGTGGCTCCCAAACTCCTGGCTGCAGACTGGTACGAAGCCATTGGACTTTTGCTACAAGGCCAAGAAAAAAAAAATTCAAAATGTACAATTGTGTTTTTTGGGACTACACGAAGATACCGTTTTATTACATTTTTTCAGGAGTATGCAGAACTCAAAGGGTATTTTTCTGTTGCTTTTTCCTCTACCATGCAACAAATAACCTTGAGAGAGAATTTGAACGTTTCTTTGGAACAATTCAAATTTTGTAGACAAAACCACTCAGGAGGCAGGTTTTATAAAACAAAGAGTTCACAAAAAATACACAGATACAAATCCAGAGAGAGAAAGACAAAGAACTAAAGGGCTAGGCTGGAGCAGACTGGTGAGTTCTAGAGTGATCTTAACGCAGACACCCAACAGATGAGTTCCGGTCGTTGAATTCAGTTTAGTATGCTGTTTATTTCTTAGTTTGTACAATACCATTATGCACGAGTAGATGAATGTTTGTTGTGGTGAGCATCTGCCTAGTCCGGTTGGATCTGTGTGCTCTTCCTCCTCCTGCATCCTGTTCCTTTCCGGTCGCTTATGAACCTATTTATACATCCTGTGCAGTTAAACCCCCAAAATAATATTGCAAGATAAACAAAATAAACTGACATGCCGATAACACACATAAATGGCTCCTACACAGAGAAAGGTCAAACATTGGATAAGTGTAGGAAGTACAGATAGGCTATAATCTATGGCAAGCCATTTGAGTATGTATTCCATATCCTTGATATCAGACGGCAGCTGCCTACACTAGTTGGCTCTTTGATTACACTTGTTAGATTTATGGTCAAACTAGTTTGGAACTCTGCTTTACTAGTTAAATAAAATATTATACTAGTCACTCTTTTTCAGCAACTAGTGGCATTTTTGTGTGACTAGTTACCAAATAAGCCTTACTAGTGACGCCAGGAGCAGCACGAGTAGCACCAAAGTCCCAAATTGTAAGCTTTTTGATGATCTAGTGGCCCTCTGACCGTACTAGTGATGCTAAAAGTCTTAGAAGTTAACTAGTGCGCTGCAAAAGCTCTGACATGTTAACTAGTTACAAAAAAGAAGCAGAACTAGTTNGCTAAGGGGCGTGGTTCGGCCCGANTTCTACCCGTGGTATACGCTCAGTATAAAACGGACAAGTAAAATCAAGCAATCTGATTGGTTCTTAGCCGTGATATACTGAGCGTATACCACGGGTAGAANTCGGGCCGAACCACGCCCCTTAGCTGTGATATAATGAGCATATACCACGGCCTGTCGTGAGCTATTGCTTAAGTATAACACCCGATTTATAACAACATGATACACCAATGTTATACTGTTATTACACTGTTTTTAGACCCATATTACACCAATATACAGAAACCACTACAGTACATCAGAGGTAATAATGGTACCTGACCAATCACAGTGTTGATGGTTAGAATGTAGCTAATATAAAGTATTGAATAATTGCCATTCAGTTCTTAATTTGTTTTGAATTAATTTAGTCCTGTCCTGTTGTATTTTTGAAATATAAAAACAAATGAATAAGATAAGACCAAGAGTCCTCACCTTAACCACTAACAGTATCCTCACCCTCCCTTCTTATTGATGTTAAGATGCGCCATATTTCCTTTATTCTGCTGTCACTTAAGAGTGGGGGGTCCACTGCCCCTCCCTATGCAGGGGCAGCCCTCAGAGGGTGGATGAGACTCAGGCTGGTTGGCTGAGCATGTACATACACATTTTAATTGCAAGGGTTGGCGACTGGCTAATAGAATCCCATTAGAGGGCAAAGCCTATGTGAAACACAACCCACTGCGGCAAAGGTCTAATTAACACATAATACAAAATGGTGACAGCGAAAGATAAGAAGAGACTGGGGAAAATACGGAAAGAACGACAGCCCTTCAAAACAACACGGCTGGGGGAATAATTAGAATTCCAAGGATGCTTCTTTGTCTCGTTACATTTTTTGTTCCTCTTCTAATCCTAGCTGTGCGACTGTGTAAATGGCACACATGACAGGCATGAATAGTTATTATTAAATGGCGTGCATTAATGTTTGTGCCTCAGATAAATGGCTTCTCCCACGTAGAAAGCACTGGTGCAGCTAGCATGGCAGCCCAAGCCCTGGGATTTACAAAGTTGACTCTAAAGTAAAACAATAACAGGTCTGTGTGTACACTTCTTACACACAGGGTTTGTTTGTGTGCCCAGACTTGCATTCTCTGAATTTATCAGAAAGATGGAAAGACTGCACACCCCTTGGAAGCCAACATAGTTTTGCAATTCAGATGAGCTGTGTTATATCTGACTTTTCCCTTTGGTGCATGCTGTGGTTTGTTAGCATACCCATCATCAATTCAGCAGGCATGTATTAAAAGCCAAAAGCATTGATCTTACTTTTCCAATCCTCATTTAAGTGTGTGTTTGTGAGGATGTTAGAAGGTTCACAGAAGCTCCAATAGTCTTTAAATCATGTAATAACGAAAATATATGGCTAACATAGAATTAATGGGCCTGAGAAAGTGAATCTCATGCATAAGTGATCGCATGGTTCATGTGTGGTGTGTGTTTGTTTTTATAGCGGGACGATGCTGACTCGGTATTTCCTCCATGTAAATGCAACATGATAAATGGGCTCACCATTAAAATGAGACAAGGCAAAGAAAGAGCCTCAACAGCAAAAGGAGAAAAACAAACCATGTCACATCCCATGATATCTTCAAATTCACTTACAGAATTCACCTGGTTTTCCTGACAAGGAACAATTTCCACTCTTGCCTTACAATAAACATGTTGTTTTTAACCCTAATTCCTTTTTAAATCGACCTCCTGATGTTACAAGCATAGACTGACATTTATGTCATCATGATAAGGTTATGGCTGATCTATAGTTTACTTAGTCAACAAATCCTACATTGAATAACAACAAACAAACAATAAATGTATCCTACAGCCTGTGTATCCAAAGCATCACACATTTAATCCTATGTGCACCAAAAAAACAAATGATATCATACTGTCATCATTTCCAGCAAACACACAGAATATGCTGCTGGTAATAGTCCCTGACTAAAGCAGTATCATTCCTGTTTGACCCAGTTGTTTTAGGAAATGATAAAGCGTTTTTAAATAAAAAAGAAAGCATGACCCAAAAGTACCTCGGACTGGTTGGGAATTTTATTGAGATTTATGGTGAGTTAATGATTTGACAATAACATGTTTGACATATCATTAGTTCTGCTGGTCTCTCTTCACTCTTTTGTTTGTTCCTTCTCTCAGCATGTGTCAGCCTGTCTCAAAACTCCCCTGAATACAGCCACATGGTCCTCGCGCAGCTAATGAATCATCGTTATGGATAACCTTGATGTATCATTTTATGGAATCATATTCACATGATTTTATGAATCATTCATGCGAATCATATCACCATATTACCATGCTGTTCAGAGCTTTTGAAAGTGCTGCATAAATCAAGTTGAATTATTCAATCAGTTAATTTATTATTGCATGTTATTATCTACAGCTGTTCCAAGAGCTGACATTTAAATGTATTGGATTTAGCAGCGATTCACACATGAGGTGATAACGAAGCATGATTGAGGACGAGAACACTTCACAAACAAGCCGGACCCCTGCAGCTAGCTTTAGAAAACGGTATCACACCTACATCATAAGAGAAACACCGGGAGGCTGAACTTAATATTCCACCGTTATAATAATAGCCAAGGATCAAACTAACAATAGCATCATCTTTTAAAGCATGGATATGAATAATTCTGGACCTTAATGGAAAGTAGACAAATTCCTGCAGAATGCTAATCACCCTCATACAGTATGTCATGATGTCACGGCCAAAGTGACCACAGGAGATATTAATTTTCTGTGGAAGAGTTATGAAATCCCACACAGATCTTATTGTTGAGTCTGACTCCATCATCATCAACACGTAGGTTCATCAACATACAGTTTTCCCTCAGAGGCTGCACAGTGGGATAATTAAATACAACGCACATATATCACAGCTTACGTTAGTGTAGAATGGTTAAAGACGCAGACTTCATTATTTGGGCTGTGGATAGAAAACGGAATTTATTTATGTCCATGTCAGATATGTTTATGCTGATGCAAACTTGACATTTTGGCCTGATGATGACACTGCAAGAAAAAAGTGTCTGAAATTAAAAAGATTCTCGTGGCCATCCTCCCATTGGATTCTCTGTGTATAAGAGGAGGTGCTAGAGATAGGTCAGAGGTTCTCCAAAAACAATGGGAGTCATCATTTGGGAATCTATTAATGGACAGGATAGTATAGGAATTAATAGGGATGTATATTGAAATGTCACGAGGTCTGGGAACCATGAATCTATATGTTATATTTGATCAAGATCATATCAACATGGTTATCTGCAGGACTTCATGGTGATCACGAGTGTTTACCTCTGTAAGCTGCTCCAGCCTCTGTTTGGCCCCCTTCAGGACAGGATCTGTATTACGGACGGACATCTCTGGGTTCTCCTTCTGGGCTTTTAAACTGCTGCCAACAACACGACCTGCATAACTACAGAAAGAAAAAACAAGAGAGAATTAAAGTTCTTAATGTCCTAGTTCTGAGTTCTTATCCTGCCCTAGTTTTTTCAGAGGCACTGAACTAGCATGCTCAATCAGGGCGTAGTGATTCACTTCATGTGCAGAGACACACGCACACCACAGTGTAGAATAAGTTATCTCCTGGCAAATGGGACAAAGAAGCAGAGGAGTCACTTGAGACATTCCGCTATGGTGACATGAGTTCATCTTGTCCTGATCTTAATCTTTACCAGCTTGTTGAAGTCATAGAGCTTTATTAAGAACATGTTTAAAAGTTATACACTTGACTCAATAAAGTAACTCTTCCAATTAGAAACAAAACAAAATAACTATAGTTGACTGCTCATATTTCTGGATTTCTACAGAGAGTTCAATTTCAAAAGGCAGTATTTTTATGGAGTTATGTGGTATTTTGTAATTTAATCTTAGTGATGAATGAATGATACACGTTTACATGATTTGTGTCACTACCAGCACAGGTGACACAGTCTATGTCAAAGGAGCCAATGTTCTTCTTCACTACATGATGTGGGACTAATAAAGGTATTCTGATTCTGATTCTGATGCTTTACCAGGTATAAAATACATTTTATTCTTAAGGATATTGGCTGTTTAAACATTTGTTTGTCTGTTGCCATCTGTGAATGTGTTGAGCTTTCCCATGGTTCTCTCTTGCTTATTTCATCAAATCTAGCTTCTTTCGTGCATATTCTGTAACTTTAAACTATACTTTTACTGAATTAAAATGAGAAATTGGGTAGTGTAGCCTATATCTGGCAAATTAGCATCCTCACTGAGCTTGATCCTTGATCATCTCAAATGTGGATTTTTTTAATGTAGTGGGTTTAAAGCAAATATCACGTCATGGTGTCAGTGTGTGGGGTTGCAGTGGGTGGATCAAAAGAAGGATGAAGTGAGAGAAAAAGCAAAAAGGAGAAGAAACAACAGTTTGTGAGTCATATTTTTCCAAGTCTCCAAGTTCCAAACCAGCTTTCCTAGCTAATACAATCAGCAAGTCACTAACCGCTGAGTACACACCCTTGAAAACACAAACACACTCTGGCTATGGCAACAAGGGGAATGGGTTGTGGGAACCAGAGAGCAGATTCATGGCGGATGTCAGCCTGAATCTCAAGAAATGATTTGAGTAATGCCAAAATATGGTGTAGTGGTGAATACCCCAGCCTCTGGAGCCAGGCTAACCCCGCTAGTCTGGAGATCTTACCAAACACTTTAGTCTGATGCAAGTCTCTAGTTAAGATCCTCAAATCATTTTATTACCATGCATTTTGAGTCTTAATGCATACATTCTCGGTGAAATAAGGGTCACACTGTGGCTTAAGTCTTATTCAAGTTGAAGTGCTAATGTCCTGAGGTCTGACTCACAAAGCGAGATCAGCTTAGTTTTTACTTTGTGGCCAGACATTAGAAATCCATTATAACTGGTCTCACAGTAGTGCTTATGAGCTGTGTCTGTGAGATACGTTTTGGATCCAGCTTTGAGAAAGTTCACAATGAACATGCGGCCAATTGCATACAACATCAACAGATCAAAAGCTGCATGTTTAATTTAACGGAGGCTGAGAGCACATATTCTCATGGGAAAATTAGGTAATTAAAGAGGCAGAAATAAAATAATGGAGTGGGGAAAAACATTAAAGCGCACAACTATAGGCGGAACTAAATAAAATAAATTATACTTCTGACTTTATTCAGTAGCCTAGGGTTTGGTATAAACAATAATTACTACCAGTTATGCTCTTATGTTTCATGATGATATCCCTTATTACAGCTCTGGTGTTATTGCTGCTGGATGCAGTGGAGATTACTGGAGGACAACTGCACTGTAACTGTAACATAATGGCTACAGGAAAATATCAATTGATGACCTCAATATAATTGTAACACATAAGAAGTAGTAGCTATTTGTTTGTGTGCAAATACTTACACAGTTTAAGGATGGATTTATGGTTGACAAATGGGGTTAACAGATGTATCTGCACATTTGTTATGTATAGTTCCATGTCAGATGCAACAACATTGTTTTTAAAAAGCAGAGCGATAGATATAATAGTGGTTTGGCCGCTTATACAATTACTCAAAGATCTCAACATGCTCTAGTCTAGAGGTAGTTCACCTCCAAATTCCCAATTTCATGAAACAGACTACGTTTCAAGAATTTCTTTAGTTTTGATACATAAACTAAAAGGTACATTTCAAACACAATCACCATGGAAACTGTTAGCATTGCTTAGACAAATGCACAAGTAAAAAGCTAACCTGCATTCCTTCTAATCTCTGTAAAGAATGAATTATCTTTTCCACTGGTTTGGTATGAGTAAGCAAGGTTGATAAAAACAGGATATGATGCAACGAGTACCAATATGGCCATGTAATGACAACAGGAAATTGGACTACATGTGATTAACACATGGCAAAAGTCAGCACCAGCTAACTGATGTATACAATTCATGGCAATAGATAGATCACAATATGAGAAAAATAGGAGGAGGAATGACAGGAAACGGGATGATTAGGGAGAAGGATTAAAAGAATATGCTAAATTAAAAACCATATTCTGTGCGCCAGGGGGAAATCCCCTAAATGTTTCAAAGTCCAGGAAATATTTTTCAACACCACAAATGTAATAAATCGACCACACCTAAATTAGTTTTGCCATATTCATGGTTTCCTTACATTAATTCAGCTAGATGTGTGTGTCTTCATTAGAAACAGAGCAAAGAGTGACAGGCAATTGATTTGACCTTTATTTACCAAGGTTGGCTCAATGTACTTTCTTTTTCAATACGACAACACCCTGTTTACAGTCGGACTGACAGAAAACCAACTGATATTAATCAAAAGACAAGAAGAAAATAAATTACATTATTGGTCAGCCATCATTGTTTATCGGCTTTAAGGCTGCATAGACGTAGAGAGTGCTTGGCTTTCAAATTAGCTTTTTTTTTTTATTTCTTCATGAATAACCAGCTCAAGAGCAGTTATTCGTTTCAGAGCATTAAAAGATACATACAGGATAGCGTTTCTCCAACGAGACATTTGTAGATAAGTAATCGCCAAGGGTTATTGTGCTCCTCAGTGAAAAAAGACCAACCGACCTAATCATGAAAAATGCAGTTGTGGGTATTGTAATTATCTACACAGTAATGAATCCAAGAGCTTAATGTGGAGTGTGTAATGAGGACCTAAAGGTAGAGGAGGGAGCATGTAGATTACATCCACTTAATCAGGAACTGATTGTGACAGCTTTGAAATGTTTTAAATATGATATTTTGTATGTATGAGACGTTATCATTTTGATATATAATAAGGTTTTATATATTCTGAACTTTCAGCACAAAAAGTAATCACAGCAAAGATGTGCAAATTACTAAAGTATATCTCTAGAAATTGAGTATGGTATAAATGTTGTTGTATTATCATTAAGTACCTTTATCGTTTATTAAAACCTGTTTTCCAGGTCTCAGGCTCGAAAATGACATTCCCAGAATAAATGACTATAACTTCACTTCTAAAAGGGTTAAATGAATAATCTTTTTTCTCAAAGCAATGATAAACCTGTGAGTTTGATGTAGAAGAGTCAAAATCAATTTAGATTTTTTTTATTTTAAAGTAAATTCAGATTGAACATAGTAAAAAAATGTAAATTATAGTGTCCGTCGAAAAAGAAAAAACATTACTTATAGTGAAAACCACCCTTGAATGATGGGATCGGAGACTAAAAGCTTTAGGAATCCAAACTATAACATATAATAAGTACCCTGTATCAAGATGTATGCAAAACAAGTAGATTCAGCACAAAAAAACACTTCTGGGGTCATTTGGGTGGATTTGACCTATCTCTGGCCCTCCTCCTTGGTCGATTTTGATTATTGACATCTCTTTTTAACTGTTAGAGCCAATAGAATCGAGTCGAAGTTCCACATACACACACACGTTACCAAAAAATGAGTGAGAGTGATGCGTATTGCGTAGCCAGAATACCCAAAACCGGAAGCTGCGATACACTCTGGTAGCTATCATAGCAGCTAATATGAAAACAAAATTTTGTACATAAAAAATGAATTATGGATCATCAGTAATTTTTTCAAAGTGACAGACACATTGGATTAACCTATGGATTAACCTTCAGCCACGTTTTTCTCGTTTTAATGCCATTGAACACAACTTTTGATCAGAATAACAGTAAAAGGAAAGACATATTGCCGTGTTGGCTACCTAAAGCTCCGTGTTGTGACGTCTGTATTTGCTTCCCATTTCGTATTTTACCATCAAGCATGAAATAAATGCCTTTCACATAACTGGTCATTTTAGCATAATCCACAGTATTGAGACACAGTAAAGGCTGTCGCTGGTATAATGACGTCAATGTGTGAGAAGCTCTAAAATAAGTTACAGCCATCTTTACTGACTTCTAAAACAGGAAATCTTACGTAATCTTTAATCTTTTATAATTAAATTGAAAAATATTCACATCGTCTCAATCATTTACAACTAAAATACTATGTAAATTAGGGATGATCATCTCTAAACGTAGAGTAATGTGGAGTTATTGACAGGAATGTCTTCAGGTGTTATTGATTAGCAATTCCAGGATGGATGGATGAGGTAGGACAACAATATTTATTAGGGCCACTGCAATCTCCATCGCAAATGCAGAGGGAAAAGTGTACCAATTTCTATGACTTTGACTATGTAAGACATCATTAAAAGATACATGATTAATTTGCCATGCTCTGTAATGTTTGGTGCAATGGAAAGAAGAAGAAAGGATTCATGTTGCTTCTCCCCTCAGCTGTCAAACATCAGCATAGCATTGAAAGCTGAAAAGGGAACAGAGAACCAGAGTTGGCTGTGTGAAACTATGTGTTATTTGCAGGAAGAGACATTCTTAAAACACCCTGCCAGCTGCAACTAAATATCTGTTGAAGGCTGAACAGATATCATTCT